GCATGGTGACTCATACCTATAAAATCCCAGCATTGTGAAGGCTGAGGCAGAACTGAGGCTCGGGGTATGGCTCAATTGGTAAAGTACTTACCTTACAAGCATAAAGATCTGAGTTATATGCCCAGCACCTATCTAAAAAAAAAAAAAAAAAGCTGAACGCCAGAGCTGAGAGATGGCTCAGTGGGTGCCTACATGAGCATGAGGCCCTGAGTTCTGATCCCTGGAACCCACATAAAGCTGGACTTTGTAGCACACGCCTGTAAGCCCAGCTTTCCTACAGTGTGGCAGGAGGCAGAGACAGGAGGACCCTCAGAAGCTCACAGGCCAATTAGCCTGGCATACACAGTGATTAAAAAAGAGACCCCCATCTCAAACAAGGTGGACGGCTAGGATAGACACCAGAGGCTGCCCCTCTGACTTCCATATGTGTGCAGTGGCACATACATGCAAAAAGATTAAAAAATAAAAATAGAAAGAAAACATCGGAGTGCAGGCTTGAAGTCAGACAGATGCCCTATGCTGCATGCTGGCTCCAAGATGTCAGGCCAGGTATTCCACTTCCCCAAGATGCTGTTCTCTAATCTCTCAAGGGTGGATAATAATGGTACCTCCCTCAATATGTGCTGAGAGATATACCCCCAGGTATCATGCTGGGAGCTCACCAGGTCCCCAACCTAGATTTGCTTATCAAATTCATACCTCTCAGGGACTATTGGTTGACTCCAAATCCTTATCCATCACTTGTCAGGTGTGTCCCTCTGTTCTATGCATGAATCTCTCCAACACTATTGTTCTCTTAAAAATGAGAGAACTGCTACACAGAGAGATTAAGTTTCTTACTCAAGGTGACACTGTTGGTAAATGATGGAGCTGAGATTCAAATTCAGCACTTTCATGTCAGAGTCTATGTGGTTAACTGCTTTGCCAAGTCCCATCTTGGGAGAAACATGCTTGTAGGATGGAGGTATGATGGGTAGATGGACAGGTGATTGTGAGTCCCCTCTGTTGACCTAGACCCAGAAGAGGAGTCTTGGTTTTGTTCCCACTTAGTGGTTCCGTGGAGGGTTGGGAACACATGTGAGTGCCACTTCCCAGCTCTCTTCAGCTACAGCAGTATGTTCTGGGATGGGCTTCAAATGTTTCTTGATAGAAATCTACCTGGCTTCCAAGCACGGCCCAACCTGCCATGAGGGTACCCAGGGTTTGCTTGCATCATCTGGTCTCTTGTGTCTTTGGGGATCAGAATGACGCCCTTGGATTCCACAGTTGGCTTTGAAAGTATGTGCTGAAGCTGGGCAAGGTGGGGCCCACACCATTATTCCCAGTACTTGGGAGGTGGAGGCAGGAGGATCAGGAGTTCAATGTCATCCCATGTGTATTAGTCACTTTTCTGTTGCTGTGATAGAAACACTGATCAAAGCAAGTTATGGAAAGAAGAGTTTGTTTGAGCTTATGGTTCCAAAGGGGCAAGAGTCCATCATGGCGGGGAGGCATGGCGGCAGAGGTGGCTGGGGGGAGTGGAGGAGGAGCAGAAGCTAAGCTCTCACATCTTCAAGCAGACACAGGAAGCAAGAGAGCAACTGGAGATCTGGCAAGGCTTATGAACTGTCTAAGCCCACCCCAAGTGATGTGCTTCCTCCAGGATAGCCACACCTTCTAAGACCTCCCAAAACAGCGCCACCAACTGGGGACAAAAATGTCCAAATACTTGGAGCCTATGAGGACATTCTCATTCAAACCACCACACTGGGCTATATAGTGAGTTTGAGGCCAGCCTGAACTATAGAAGACCCGGTCTCAAAAAAACCAACCAACCAAACTGAAAGGAACTATGTGTTGTTGATATCTTCCATCTATTTGGGACTGGGACTGGCCTATTTTTGAGACCTTGTCCCATCCCTGATCTTCTGCACAGCCATGTAGTCTCTTTCTTCTCCAGCTGGTACCTCTGGTTGGATTACTGCCTCTTCCTATAGCCACATCTCTCAGCACTGACTTTCTTGCCAGCCACGTGCACACGTCCCCCAAAGCACTGTGAGGCTCTAAGGGTAGTCCTCACTGGCAGGCCCCAGAGAAGTGCCATTTCTTCCCCAAACTGTCTGGAAATCTATTGACTGTGTGGTGGGCCTCATGTGTTCCTCGTGACCTTGAGAATGTATACACTATCAAGGACAAGAGTGCCTTCTGCAGCCTGTGGGGATGATAAGGGGCTAGAACAAGGCAGTGACCTTGTTTCTCCCTGTACTCTCCAGTCTCCCTGACAGAGGTACCATTGCTTCCACTTCTTGGCTTAGAAAGTCCTCCAAAGATAGCTGTGGAAGCAGCCTGGGGCCATCAGCCTCTTTTCATCACTTGACAAGGTCACTGGGCTCTGTAGATACCAGCCTTCCTTTTCTCCCTGGAACACTGAGACCCTTTAATAGCAGCTCCAGAGGAAGCCTGAGAACCTGTTTCACCCCTGAACAGAATACATGAAAGTGAGGGAAGGCCCCAGGAAACTTCCTCACGGGGAATCCACTAGGTTCCACATTGACCTTGTTTCTAGCACAGTGGAGGGGGGCTAGAAATAGAGGGGAGCCAAACCTGGTATTCCCACAGCCCCCTTAGAACTTGGTCAGGTGGATACGGATGGTGACAGGATGGCACCTCCTCCTTTGGAGGAGGACATGCGTGGTGCTGGGGAGGCTGGTGCTTCAGTCAAGAGATGAGAATATTTTTAGGGCTGAATCTGGGTCTCTTCTTCTCCTTCCTTTGATGCTAAGTAGCCATCTGTATCTCCTAGACAACCTCCTCAAACTGCATCCTAGAAAAGCAGGCTGGGGAAGTGACTTATTAAATACAGAATAGGAAGTACTGCATCAAACGTTCATTCATTCAGCTGTTAAGAAAGGGGCTGGAAAATATTTCTTTCTAACCTAGCATAATGTTTTACATTTTTTGAAGAACTTAGTTATATATATTCCTGGTCCAGCAGGCCACCTTGTGGTGATTTCTTTGAGCTGGGACATCCTGACCCATCTTCTCACTCCCACCTCACCCCTTGAGTATTCAACTATGGATGCCTGTATGAGATCCTAAGGGCCTCTGGCTCAAAAAGTCCAAAGACTTACCTATTTTCCCTCTGCAGTCAGCCCCCATCAGTTCCCAGTTTGCCCTATTTCCTTTAAAAGCCAGTCATCCACACCTACCTAGCAAGGGTTTTACTCAGCTGAACCCCACGAGATAAAGGCTAGTTGTACAGCGGGGGCAGAGGCCAAAGGAAGAGATAGATACTGGCTGTGCTGCTGGGTTTGGTGACACATGCCTTTGATCCTAGCACTTGGGAGGCAGAGGCAGGCCGATCTCTGTGAATTCGAGGCTAGCCTGGTCTACATAGCGAGTTCCAGGTCAGCTGGGGCTAGGGGGAGACCCTGTCTCCAAAAGATCAAACAAACAAACAAAAAACTTGGTTGGCACAATGTTCCTGAAAATTTCAGCTTTGTTTTAATCCAAAAGAGAATATTGCATCATAGATAAGACCATGGAATTGAACAAAAAGTAATAAAAGTATATAGTAATAAAGGATAGAGCTACCATAGCAGGTCTGAGTCATCAGCTACAGTGTGACAAGGAGTCACATCTACTTAATTGCTTAAATGAATGAATGACTCAAACTGAATCTTCATTCCCACCTTGGCTGGGCCCAGGCCGAAGCCAATAGCCATGAGCCTTGTCCACTGAATTCAAGTTGTGGGCAGAAGTAATGTCATTTCTTTGGGTCCTCATTGTCTTGAGTTTCCTGTATCACTCAGCAGATACGGCAGGGCCAGATCAGTCATGTTCCTCTCCCTGACAGCAGCCAGAACTGAGCTCTATAGGATGCTAAGGTAGCTTGGTAGCTCTTCTAGGGACAGATCTAACCTGTCCAAGGTCCTCAGAGGCCCAGGACACAGGCCTCTGTGCTGATTGCATGCTGATTCTGGAATCAGTCCTGGGTTCATATCCAGTCACACACTAGCATGTGCATGACCTTGGTAAGTGGCTTTACTTCACTGATCTCTGTCCCCAGGTCTGTGGAAGGGGATGATATTAAAAAGGTCTACCTCTGGGTCCAGGCTTAAGTGAAATTATGCATGGAAGGCACTCATCATCTGCTGGTATCACCGGTGGACTTCCTGCTGCGTTCTGCCCCTCTTAGAGCTGGTGCTGAGTAAGCTGTGCAAACTGAACAGGGCCAGTTCTCAGGGAAAACTCATCTGCAGGAAGTGGATTGAAGGATGCTAAGAGACAGTCTCTGGGAAACCCTAACAGGCTTGGGGCAGGAACACACAGTAAGAAATAGAGAAAAACGGGCCCCAGGTTAGACGAGGGCAAACTACTGTCTGCACTTGTCTGGCCAAAGGCACATGTCTATCCACGTGGTGCCTGCCCACCCAAATCCTATTTGAGGGAATCTTTGCTATGACAGAGGCCTGCACAGGCTTAGGCACAGGACTTCCTAACCATTCATTCAGAAGGTGTTCCCTGGTGGGGGGAGGGGAGGTGGGCAGAGCAGAGCTTCACTAGCCATCTGACATCCAAGAAAGAGACTGAGGCAGGTAACACAGGTGGTCTGCATCCCCACCTTTCTTTCCCACAGCTTTATAAAGCAAGGCCAGTCCAAATGAGGACCCAGCAGGGCAGACTGCACTCGCAAAGCAAGGAAGGAGGATCTCCAAGCTTAGCAGGCAGTTCTGGAAGCTCTGCTGCTCCCTCCTGTCCAAAAGCAGCGGGTCAAGCTGGGCTCCAGCTGCCTAGGCCCATCAGCTTGTGGTCCAGCCCTCAGCCTGTACCTTGACACCAGAATACCGAGGCCGGGCTGTTCATCTCGCAGCACCACCACGCCCGGCGCCCATCAGGCCAGGGCTGGGTCTCCAACCTGTGCTGGCCAGGGTGGGAACGGCTGGTGGGGATGGGGCCGGGCTTCTGCCCACGTGCGCCAGCGGGAGCCGCAGCAGCGGTGACAGCCGGCGGCACCCGGGATGCACCCAGCGCGCGCGGGGGTGGGCTCCGCGCTGCATCTCCATTGGCCGTGCGTCTCAGGCCTCGCCCCGGGAGGCCCTGTCATTGGTCAAGCCTCCGCTGGGGGCGTGCCCCAGCCGGGTCCACCTCTGGGCGCAGAACCGCGGGCACCCGGCTGGCTCAGCCTGAGCTGGGCGGCCTCGCAGGCTCCCGGCTCCGCAGGCGGCCCGCTGGGGTCCCCGATCGCTGTAGCCGGAGGTCGAGGCAGTTGCTGATCCGAGGCCCGGAGGCCCCGCGAGTCCTTGGGTAAGACAAGGCCGGCGCTGCCTGCGGGGATCGCGGGCGCGGGTGGGGATCGCGCCAGTGGCCGCTGGACTATGCACCCTGCCCGGAGCCCGGGAGGGTCAGGTGCGGCTGCAGCATCCGCGCGTCAGATCCACCTGCGGGGCTTGCGGCGAGCAGGTGGCGCTGCCCGGTCTCAGCGCTTCTGAGCTGCCATTTGAGCTGCCGTTCTAACCCTGCTAAGTCCCAAACGCCAGCGCGCAGTGGGCGTCACGCTCCGGAGACCCAGCGGGTGCTCGTGCAGGAGACCGGCCCAAACTTTGCTTTTCGAGGTCTGGGCTCCCATCCTTTCCAGTTCTTGCACCAAGAGCCTTATTTATTTTTATTATATATAATATATACTATATATACTTTTTTTCCGCCTCCTTTCTTCCCTTCCCTTCTTGATAACAGGAAGTTGAGTTGGGCCAAATGTCAGTGACCTGGCCGGCGGCGGGCTGGGACCGGGGGCTGGTTGCTGGGGCCGTGGGAGTGCGCTTGCTGTCCCCCTCCCCCCGTCCGGCAGCCCACGCTCGCGCCCCCTGCCAAGGAGCATCTCACCAGGAGTCCCTGAAGCCGGCTCTGTCTCTGGCCAGGCTGGCCCTGGGTTCAGGTCTCGGCCCTGCCGTCTCGGATCCGCTGGGGGTGGCCAGGGCGGGTGGGGTTAACTTCATCCCCTGCCAATCTCACCCTCCCCGGCACAGCTGGGAACGGCCTTTACTGGATGGGGAAGAGGCGTGTTGAAACCAGAGTCCTCGCGTGTCTCCGTCCACATTGTTTATTCTGGGCCTGGGCTCCTAAGGCGGAAAGCCCTTTCGCTTGGAAGCCGTGGGGCCTTTCGCTGGCCGTCTCACTGCCCACTGTGTCTTCGTGGCTTAAGGGAAGAATGAAATCACTAGCCAGTCCCCTTATGGGCAGATCCCGAGGGAAAAAGAGCCTCTGGCTAATTGTCCTTCCGCATTTGCCTGCCTGAGTTCCCTGGCACCTGTGTCCTCTGCGTGCCAGTCCCCTCTACAGGGGCAGTGGACCCAACACGTGGGCCACTAGGACAGCCCCTATCCCTGTCCGTTGTCTTGGGGACTTTAACTGCAGTCAGAGCTGCCCCCCTTCTCCAGGCTCAGGGAAGAGGCCACAGGTTGGGTCTGGTGGTTTCGCTCCAAAAAGTCTGAGTTTTGTCTTCCTTGTTTTAGACACCTGGAAAGGGAAAGTGTCAAAGCCTTCCTGGCTTTCTACCTGTTTCCACCATGCTGCTGTGGGAAGTGGTGCTCTGTGGCCCACAGCAAGCTGACTGGAGCCCTCTGGCCTTTGAAGGGGAGTGCCGGCTGCTTTGCTGAACTGCTTGAACTGCCTGCCTCTATCTCAGTTAGTACACTTCAGTCTGCCACTCACCCTGTCCTTCAGTGTAGAAGCCGGTACAGTGTTGGCCTTGGTAGGATGGGGAGGGACTGACTGGTGCCAGGAAGGCCTCTCTCCTCATGGCCTTACTTCTGCCAGTTGGCTTTTTCATAAAACCAGGATCCTGTTCACTGATATAACTTTGACCCTTAGAAGGAATTTTGTTTTCTCTCAATCTCTCTCTCTCTCTCTCTCTCTCTCTCTCTCTCTCTCTCTCCCTTTCTTTCTGGAGGAGGAAGACAGGCTTTGGGATACACTGTGATTGCAGAGTGATTGAAATCCACAGCTTGGACATACTTTTCTAAAATTTGGTGTCACTTTTATCCCCCCTACCCTTCCTTCTTCTTCCAGCCCAGGACTTGGACTTTCTGTTCATCCCTTATTCTAAAAGAAAATCCTGATTTTCTTCGTATCAATCAATTATACTAGACTTTAAATTAGTCACAGGCTATGTCTGGCTGTGGAGGCCATTCCTAGGGACTGCAGAGAGCAGCCCTATTCTTTTTGCACCTGGGACACTGCTGTCTTCACCATGTCCACATTCCCACCTGGGTTTGCCATTAAGCCATGGGCCTGGCCCTACCCACTCCCTACTGCCAAAGAGGTTCTCCATATTGGTGGGGGACTTAGCTCTGGCTAGAGGGGACTGAACATTGCTAACCTGAGAAGTCTGTGGAGGACTAAGTTTCTATCCTCTAAAGACCCCTCATTGGGACTTCTCATTCTGTATGTCATGAGCAACCTACATGTTATAGTTGGGGTTTTACCCATTTTACAGATGAGGAAACAGAGGTTCTGAAAGATTGGGACTGGCCCCTATCACACAGCTAGGGTCTCATGATGGGTCCAGTCTCTGACTGTTGAGGGAGGGGATTAAACACCATAGGAACAGGAAAACCTATGACTCCCTTCTGAGCTCCAGGGACCTGGCACAGACAGCCCCTGTGTGTACTGACTATTCTCTATCTTGTATTATAAGGACATGAGAGTGCATCTTCCCGCCTCACTATGAAATGATACTCAAAGCCTGGCATTTTATTTTCTGGTTTTTGCATTGTCATTGCTCTTCGCTGTGTATTATTCCCTTAGCCCTTTCCACCAGTTTTATTAGAGAATCTACCACAATGTAGTGCAGTTCTCTTAAAAAAATTCTATGAGAGAGACTGAAGTAGGAAAATAGAGAGTTCAAGATCAGCATAGGCTATAAAGAGAATTTGAGGCTTGCCTGGGTTGCATAGCTAGACCTTATCTCAAAAAACAACAAAAATTAACACTTGGGATATTGTCATGGTCTGTAATCACAGCATTTGGGAGGCAGAGGCAGGAGGATTGCCCCAAGTTTGAGGCTAACCTGATATGCATAATGAGTTCTAGGCTAGCCTATAGGAAGACCCTGTCTCAAAACAAAACAAAACAAAACAAAACAAAACAACACTAAAATTCAAACCTGGAGCTAAAGAGATGACTCAGCAGTTAAGAGCACTGACTGTTCTTGCAGAAGCCCTGGGTACGATTCTCAGCACCCACATGGCAGCTAACAATATCTGTAACTCCAGTTCCAGGGGAATCTAATGCCCTCTTCTGACCTCCATGGGCACTGTATGATATGGGTGCACTTGTGTGCATGCAGGCAAAACACTCATATACAAAAACTAAAAATAAGAAACCAAAATATATTTGATAGACATTTTCAATCACAGAGAAGCAGAATGGTACGAGCCCCCCGCCCCCTTCCCAGCTGTCTCAGCCATCATGATGATGATGTGTTATGTTAGCTCCAGGGCTCTGTCTTTTCCTTTCTTTCAGTTCCTTCTTTTTAAAAACTATATTTATTTAGTCTGCTTGTGTGTGTTCACGTGTGTGGAGGTCAGAGGGCAATTTGGGAGAGTCAGTTCTTGCCATCCACAGGGTGGATCCCTGGGATCCAACTCAGGTCCTGAGACTTGACAGCAAGCACCTTCACCTGCTGAGTCACCTTGCTGGTCCCTTAGTTCTTTTTACCCTTATACAATCCAGCATACATCTCTTTTAAAAAGAGTATTATCTTGCAAAAACCATGACCATTATTGCACAGGACAGAGACAGCAGTGATCCTGAGGTGTCACCTGTCCACATTCAGATGTACACGTACATGTACATGTACACACACACACACACACACACACACACATGCATGCATGCATGCTTGTCAGGAATGGCCTTTCCAGCTGTCTGTTGGAGTGAGGATCCGTGCACATGCTGCATTTGGTCATCAGTGCCATACTGTCTATTATAACCTGGAGAAGTTCCCCTCCTCTTCATGAGCTCCAATTTAAGTGCCCATCTCCTGGGGAACCACAGCAAGCTCCTGGAGACTAGAATCTCAGGGCTCAGCCCTGTGCACAGCAGCAACACAGCAGAGGCTGGGTGAACATCTGTCCATTGGCATAGCAGCCTCTCAAAGGGTGTGTCTGGATGAGGGGCTCGTGTGACTGTCGTGCATGTTTAAAATGATGACTAGCTCGCACACGTGTGGCTGTCTGAGCAGTGAGCGTCAGTCCGTAAGCATCCTGAAATAATAGGAGAACTATTTGCTGTGCTCACCCTCACCACTTTGTTTGTGATGTAGAGCCCAGATGGCCATGTGTGTGCCCTCAGCTGCAGTTGGCCCTGCAGATCACATGTGACTGACAGTGGCTGAGGTCATTCTGTCTGAGCTATGTGATCTGCCATAGTCAAGACCAAACTGTGACCCTGACCCTTGGAACTGGGCTAGGTAGAGAACAGGGAACATCATCTTTTCCTTTCTTCTCTGAGCAGCGCTTGTGCCTTCAGGAACCTCCCCTGGAATTGGAATTACAGACGTTTGTTAGCTGACATGTGGGTGCTGGGAATTGAACCTGAGTCCTCTGCAAGAGCAGCCAGTGCTCTTAAACCACTGAGCCATCTCTCCAGTCCCCTTGTTTTTGAGAAAGAGTCTTACAGTCCAGGCTGGGCTTGAACTCACTATGTGGTTGATAATGGCCTTAAACTCTGATCTACCTTCCCCAATTCAAGAGCTGGGATTACAAATGTGTGCCTCTACACTCAGCTATTTCCTTTTAATATTTATTTATTTTTTGTTTATTTATTTATAGACAGGGTCTTCCTGTAGCCCCAGCTGGCCTGAAACTCACTATGTAGACCAGGCTGGCCCTGAACTCACAGAGATCCTCCTGCCTCTCTTCTGGAGTGCTGGAATTAAAGGCATGTGCCATCACACCCAGCTATTCTTTTTCATTTTAAACAAAGCCTTCCTTCCCCTGCCCCTGTCCAGGAAGAAATATAACAGCGTTTTAATCCTTTCAGAGACTGAACCTTGTGGCCTTCCCATGCATGTTAATCAAGCCCTCTTTATATACTTTAAAAATATTTTTAATTATGTATGTGTCTGTGTGGAGGTATGTGCATGCAAGTACAAGTACCCACAGAGGCCAGAAGGTGGTGTTGGATCCTCTGGTGCTGCTGTTGTAAGCAGTTGTGAGCTACCTAATATAGGTGCTAGGAACCGAACTCTGGTCCTCTGGAAGAACACCAAATGCTCTTAACTGCTGAGCCATCTCTCTAGCCCT